GTGCGTGAAACTCAAAGTTAAAAAAGCATTTTCCGTCCTCTTATTGTTTATTTTATTCCACATCCCATAGCATGTTGTTGCCAATCAAAGGGGAGGGGGTGAAAGGCAACCACCTTTGAATGTAAAGAAATATAAAGAGAAAGAAAGAGGAAGATACATTATCAGGCGCGTAGCTCCGTATCGCAAAACTCTCAAACAAAGCGGCTAGAGTTTGCCGTGCCATGTCCGCAAAACGTCCCAAACAGGGAAAGGAGTACATGTCTGTATCGCGAAAAGTGCCCGCGTTTAACGTTCGTTCAATGCATGTGTTGATCCATGGACTGGACCTGTACACGCACCGGGTAGGTCCTTCACGCATGTTTTGTGCACGGTACGAGTCAGTCTTGAACATGATTGTACAGGCAGCCATTGCCGGTACCTTTGCAAACCGTATAACAGCAGCGTGGCCGGAGCGAGGGGAGCTGAGTTTGAAGCAGGGAGTAGCAAATACCGGTGTTTTACTGCCCCCTGGTGTGAAGTGACCACGCTGGGCTGTTTTTGTTCCAACTTGCTGTTCCCGGCCATTCGAGGAAGAGAAGCATGTTTGTTTGCAAGTCCAGATGTCGGAGCCTCCAGCAAAACGTTTGTATGAAGCAGCCGATTCTAGTAGTACAATCGTGTAGTTCAAGATCAAAGGAGAATGATGTATAGTCTGCTGAATCCGACTCGTTTCTAAGTGCAGTTTACCGCAAAAATTCGGAGCTGGCTGAGCCAGTATCCTTGGCTGCAAAAATGAAAATAAATAGGGTGAATTGTGTACACTATGTCACGTCAAATGACCTTCCAAAGCAGACTGAAAGGGCTGCACTAGGTCACGTCACGTGACCTTCCAAAGCAGACTGAAAAGGGCTGCACTATGTCACGTCGCATGACCTTCCAAAGCAGACTGAAAAGGGCTACACTATGTCATGTCACATGACCTTCCAAAGCAGACTGAAAAGGGCTACGCTGCGCCCCTGATTATACTGGTTAGACTACACCTTTTTTGTAGGTGAATAGATTCACTTTTATTTAACTCTTTAGGCAAGACCAAAGAAGAGAGTTCCGGGCCCTCCCGCACCAAAATCGAGCCGAAATCAATTTTGTTGTTGTTGTTGGAAAGTTCATATACATGTTCAGTACTGATCGTATGAGTAGATCTGTGACATGGAGTCACGCAAACCCGGGCTTGAACGACTCCCTGGTGTACGACTCGGCGCCATCGTTGGCCGAAATACAAAAAAATTGTACTTGAAAACCGCATACCTGTTGTCTGTATTAAAAAAAAGATTACCGGAAAAACTGTAAAAAAAAGTTCAGCATGCCATGCATACATACATATGTCATGTACATGTACATGTACAGGTACATAGGAAAAAAATGTAAAACAATTAAGCTGGGGGAATTTGGTCGGATGGTAAAGGGTTAATAAATTCGCCCGCCCGCACCAATTTCACATGGGTCCTGCCCGGGAATCTCGATTTTATTTTGGTCTCGCCTTACAGCCTAAATTCATTCAGCAGACGTATGATATTCGCACCTCATTTTTTCATCTGACTGTAATTTGGGCATCCTTCGGGTGATTTCGACAATATTTGGGCTCTATGGAACACTCCCAGCAAGACGAACACAGCCATGCTCAGCTCGTATTTGCCAGTGCCGTAGGAGTAGCTCTGCAGCGCGATTTGAGCTTCCAACCTGCAAGGATGGTACTGAATTCTCAGCCATTTCAACAATTTCGATTGCAGAACTGTCTATTTTTTCCAGGCCAGAGCAGAAAAATTCAGCTATAGCTATACATGCGTGCATGCACGAGAGCTAGTGAGGGAAAACCGCTTGCTCGTGTACCTGTTTACGTCGGCGCGAGCTCACTTTGTTTGCACGTGTGTGTGTGTGTGTGTGTGTGTGTGTGTGTGTGTGTGTGTGTGCGTGTGTGCGTGTCACTTTGTGCGCGTGTGCATGTATGCGTGCTGCTTGCTGTCTGTTTTCTAGATGTCGGGTGTGCATGGCCAAACCTGTTAACACCATCCTTCTTCCTTGCGGCCATAAGGTTAGTGACATTATCACTGTAAACACGGTGTGTTTAACACAGCACGGGTTTCTCCCTAGCATTGGCTCGGGTCGCACGGTAACGTTAGGAGCGCAAGTGACTACTTCAAAGTACGAGAACGAAAGAGAGCCAGTTGGCAGTATGCGCGCGGGGAAGAGTGAAGAGCTATTCACATCGAAGACGAAGATTATATTGCGATGTCCGTGTGGTGCGGGCCATGCCTGTCCCAAGACAGGCGATGTCACCTACAAGTATCAGAACGTGAAACAGAAGAGGAGTGGGCCGAAGACCACATACATCACTTGCCATTCAAGTCAGCCCAGCATCTATATTATAGGTCACATGATGGCAGCCATGTTGGTTCCACTGTCCACACGACATGTTCACTTTCCACATGAATACACCGCAAAGTCGTTTATAAAAGCCGCGGCTTATGTGACCTTTTTGGGGAAATTTTTGCAGGCTTCTATATGAGATAGGCTTCTGTACAAGACAGGTATTTCTATGTATGTCAACACTACAAGCAGGCTTATGTGCCGACAGTGTATCTTGAAAAATCAGGCTTGTATTTAAAAAAAAATTCACGGTTCGCGTGAGACTCGGTTTCTCTATATAGAGGCCGAGTTTTTCGCATCCGTAGGAACGCCACCACCCTTCAAGGATCAAGGCGCAGATGCAGCTCCTAAAGCGGTGGGAGGTGAGTAGATCAGCTCACCAGCATGTGGTCAAAGACCGAAAATCCCATTCACTGCATATATGTTTTCCTCGTTTGTATTCAAAACAGGCTTCTAAATGAGACAGTTTTTTATACGAGACACTACGGTAGTCACATGACCAGAATGTGAAGCTGCTCTACTGAAGTCCTGGACCATGTGTGTAGGCACCGGATCCTCTCACCAGTTCCCTGCCTTTGAGCTCGATCTGAAAGCTTATCCAAGAACATGATCTGGTTGATTGCTGGGTGAGAGTTGGGTACCAACTGACTGTAGCTGATTTTCGATAGGGGTGAATCGAATTCGCTGAATATTCTAGAATTTTTCGTTTGGAGAACAATTCGGAGTGTTCTTTTCGGAAACGAATACTTCGTATTTCAGCTTTCGACATTTTTGAATGTGCAAGTGGTGCCGAGTACATGCAGTGCCAAGTACTACTACAGACAGGTACCAGGTATGTGTGACTGGAAGTTTGCAATAGCAGCGACTGAGCGTGACCTGCGCACAAGTCACACCTTGAGTACAGTACAGAGAGTCCAGCGTGGTTGTTTAGTTTGGAAAAGGGGGACTTTGGGCTCACGAGAGTAGTAAACAGAACAGAATTTGACTTCGCTGCCTACCTCGATCGTATACAATGACTGGGAAGTATCCAAACTCTGTAAGATTGTTTGTACAGTCGTCCCTCTCTAATCCGGCACTTTATAAACCAGCACCCTCTATAAACCAGCACAATTTTGAGTAGCCAAAATAATGTCCTCTTCATGCACATTGCAGCAGTAGATCAGATTTGTTAATCCAGCACCCTCCCTAATCCAGCAGATTTCCGTGGCACAAATGGTGCCGGATTATAGAGGGACCACTGTATAGAATATTGATTCGTTCCGATTTAGAATACCGTAAAGTCGCGGATAAAAGCCGGGTTTGCATACAAGCACATCGCGGATAGAAGCCTGAAAATCAAACGGGTCAAATGCATATAAGCCTGTCGCGCGTAGAAGCCTGGCTTCTATGCAAGCGCGGATCGGGTAGGTCAAGAGTGCATGCGCTTTGGACGGTGCATAGTAAAACTGCCGCCATACCGGTAGTCAGTGGTAGATCTACGCGTGTCGCGCGTAGAAGAATGTGCATACAAGCCTGGCAAAAATATCAGTGGTGCGTATAAGCATAGTTTGCATACAAGCCTGGTTTGCATTAAAACCTGATGCAGAAAACGGCTTATATGCTTATAATCCCGGCTTTTATCCGCGACTTTATGGTATTCGCTTCAGCCCTAATTTTCGATAATGAGCAGGACGGATGATGCCGTCCCAACCCAGAACAGGCGAGTTGGTCAGTGGCAGAAGAATGCGTCGATACGCCTTTCAGCGCCTGGCCTTGTACTGTGAAATTGCATGCTGTGCCTACATAGTCGCCACCTTGCACATCACGTACCCATTCGCTGAGCCGCACGGGATAGCGATATGGAAGTGATGAAGTGTGTCGCTGAGACCAAATGCGTGACATCATGCTTGCAGTGTACTGAGCTCGTACATGGAACAGAGGTGAAAGTTCGCGGATGCCGTGGTGTCCATCTGATCTTGTTTTACTTGTGAGATGATGAACAATGGACACGAGAGCAGGCTCCTGCGCTAAATATCTCTATTCTGTGTTACCTTCTGGTGCAGGCATTCTGCTTTGACTGTGCCGGACGACTAGAGACGTGTGCGCTAGACCGGAAGCCGATCAACCGGATCATCAGAATAGACACCTAGCCGCCGCACCCCCCCCCCCCCCCCACACACACAGACAGACTCCCCTCCTTAGTACCACTTCATTTTTAGGCAATTCCAACATGTCTCATCTCGAAATCAGTTACAACATTAAAAACTACAACCACAATTATTTTTTTGAAACCTGCTTTGTCACCTTAGACATAGGGCTGAACGTTGCATTTTATTTCTCTGTTCGTCCTCGCTTGTCCAGGCTTTGACGGAGTGAAATTTGTGTCACAAAGCCCTTTGGCCGAAATAGTAAGCTGAGAGATGTGCCCAAATTGATTTTTTAATAGAAATCTTTTGGATTTCATAGGAAGTTGTGGCACTTCTTGGTGGCACTTCTTTGTGCTCCACTTGTTGTTGTTACTGTTGTAGTCGTTGTCACCGTCATCGTCGTTGGTGGTAGTGGTGTTGTCGTCGCCATCATTGTCGTTGTTGTTGTTGTTGTTGTTGTTGTTGTTGTTGTTGTTGTTGTTGTTGTTGTTGTTGTTGTTGTTGTTGTTGTTGTTGTTGTTGTTGTCGTTTTTGAAGCTCTCTTCGAAATAGAATGCAACATGGAAACTTGAGTCCATTCACCATCATCGTCGTTGGTGGTAGTGGTGTTGTCGTTGCCGTCATTGTCGTTGTTGTTGTCGTTTTTGAAGCCCTCTTCGAAATAGAATGCAACATGGAAACTTGAGTCCATTCAATTTGTACAACGATTCGTGAATGCTGAGTGTATGTGGTACCCAGGTGTGTGTGTGTGTGGGCATGGGTAGAGGTAAGCAAAAAAGATACGGGATAGAAGTGACAGACAGAGAGGCAGGGAGAGGGAGAGGGATAGATGGATAGATAGATAGATGGAGAGTGGGAGAGTGGGAGAGGGGGAGAGGGGGAGAGGTGGAGAGGGAGAGGGAGAGGGAGAGAGAGAGAGAGAGAGAGAGAGAGAGAGAGAGAGAGAGAGAGAGAGAGAGAGAGAGAGAGAGAGAGAGAGAGAGAGAGAGAGAGAGAGGGGGGGAGGGAGGGGGAGGGAGGGAGGGGGAGGGAGGGAGGGGGAGGGAGAAGGAGGGGGAGGGAGAGGGAGAGTGAGAGAGTGGGAGAGGGAGAGAGGGAGAGAGGGAGAGAGAGAGAGAGAGAGAGAGAGAGAGAGAGAGAGAGAGAGAGAGAGAGAGAGAGAGAGAGAGAGAGAGAGAGAGAGAGAGAGAAAGAGAGAGGGGGGGGGGGGGGAGGGAGGGGGAAGGAGGGGGAGGGAGGGAGGGGGAGGGAGAAGGAGGGGGAGGGAGAGGGAGAGATAGATAGATAGATGGAGAGTGAGAGAGTGGGAGAGGGAGAGAGGGAGAGGGAGAGAGAGAGAGAGAGCGAGAGAGAAAGAGAGAGAGAGCGAGCACAAGAGACTAGGATACGGATACAGTATGATAGATCGGGGATCTACTCAAAACATGGAAGTGTATACGTACCGGTACATGTGAACTTGCAGTTGTTTTCGTGAACACACATGTCCACGAAAGTCGAAGGAACGATTTTAGATTCCCAAAAGAAGATAATAATTCATTATATTAACTGGTTTGAGGGAAAGACACAAACGGGAAAAGTCTGAAGAAAAAATTGACTGTCACCACCAGGACTCGAACCAGGGACCCTCGCTTGTAGCCAGCGATGCTCTAACCACTGAGCTATGGTGTAGTCGTCATCCCAGCAGAGGCCGTTCAACATTTTCTTCAGACTTCGTAACTCACACTTCCTGTGAATCCACACAGGCGGGTGCGACGCAGCCCTCACTGTAACCCACACACTGCACGTACAAACTAGCACGCGGGGAGCCCCAAGTCATAAAATATTAACTGGTTTGAGGGAAAGACACAAACGGGAAAAGTCTGAAGAAAAAATTGACTGTCACCAGTGACTCACCACCAGGACTCGAACCAGAGACCCTCGCTTAACGGCTGTTTTTTTGTGCGATTTCACGCCACTTAACAATATGGCCGCCGAAAGTCTCGATTGGGCTTCAATGGCAAGAAAATTTGAATTTTCAAATCGTCAGAACACGAGTAGGCCATGGTTTCCCCTGGATATTGGAGACTAGTCAGCCCGGACAGCCCGGGGAACACGCTGATCATCTGCGTCTTGTTTCAAGCTTTCCGCTCGTACCTCACATGACTGCCTTTCCTTCAAGAAACATTTGTTCTGTGTCGTGCGACTTTGGCTTCGTTCTGGAATACTCCTTGTGTCGTCGCTGACAAACTCGGCTCCGAGAAGCCCTTCCCGATTTTTTTCCAGCTTAGATCGATTTTTTCCCAGGTAGAGGACTATCCTCTGGTTGTCTTCCCCAAGTGTCATTAGAATACGCGCGTCAACTTCTAAATACGCGCGACGAGTCAGGAGCCTGTTTTCTCTTGATTTGGAAGACAAAATGGTGTGGCCCTTTAGTTGCTGTTGAGTGTAGAAGGCTGCTTCCTGCTGTAAATTGCTTAGTCGGCATGTGGGATATTATAGAAGAAGACAGCAGCCGGCCAAGTGAGCTTGAAAATTTCAAGCTCACTTGGCCGGTAATTGTGATATCTACCCTATTGTGCGTTGAACGATTACGAAATGTCTAACTTTAATGTTGTACACGCGAGCACGCCAAGCAGAGGCTGACAATCACTGGCGAGATCAATCTGCAGACTGCCAGGAGTACTTCGAGCAAGTTTGAAGCGGAAAGACAGCTAACTGGGCAGGCCAGGACGCCTTTCCACCCTCTTTCTCTCTCAAATTGCCGAAAAGTCGAGTATCTCGCTCGAGCGCTTTCAAAACTTTTCTCTTGGTTTCGCGTCCCAAATCGTGGAACCACGCAAGGATCGACATGAGTTTCTTGCAAAAACGCAAACTCATCGCGTATTTGTACTATTCGCACAATGTTACATAAATCGCACCGAACGACGCCATATTGATAAGTGCCTGCACGTGAACAGCCGCGCGCGCGCTTGTAGCCAGCGATGCTCTAACCACTGTACTGAGCTATGGTGTAGTCGTCATCCCAGCAGAGGCCGTTCAACATTTTCTTCAGACTTCGTAACTCACACTTCCTGTGAATCCACACAGGCGGGTGGGACGCGGCCCTCACTGTAACCCACACACTTCACGTACAAACTAGCACGCCGGGAGCCCCAAGTCATAAAAATTAATTAATATTAACTGGTTTGAGGGAAAGACACAAACGGGAAAAAGTCTGAAGAAAAAATTGACTGTCACCACCAGGACTCGAACCAGGGACCCTCGCTTGTAGCCAGCGATGCTCTAACCACTGAGCTATGGTGTAGTCGTCATCCCAGCAGAGGCCGTTCAACATTTTCTTCAGACTTCGTAACTCACACTTCCTGTGAATCCACACAGACGGGTGGGACGCAGCCCTCACTGTAACCCACACACTTCACGTACAAACTAGCACGCGGGGAGCCCTAAGTCATAAAATATTAACTGGTTTGAGGGAAAGACACAAACGGGAAAAGTCTGAAGAAAAAATTCATTATGTTTTAGATAGCCTTCGTTCCGTTTCATAGTTCTTGCCGCATCCAAATTCAGTAGTAATGCTGTTTTTTTTTGGTTTTTTGAGTTGCGATTGCAGAGCTGGCGCACATCTAGCTTTGTCATGTGGCTGTGCTTGTAAAGGAGGCATGCCATGGGATGTAAAGAAACAAGGGTGTAGAGTGCACACCAGTACCCATGGCCATGCCCATGGTACATGGCATTTACCAGCGAGTAGTAATGTTACGGTATTCTACTACTCCCTGGCATGGACCATGAAGACAGACAGTACAGCTACAGGGGAGTCATCAAACAACCGTATTCGATGACTTCCTTCAAAATGGCTGACATCATTTGACTGATTGTTACCATGGTTACTGGGAATAGTAGGCCCACAATTGACTGGAGCTTATACCCGAAACCAAGAGTACATGAAAACCGTTTCATGTACTCTTGCCGAAATCAGCCGCCGGGTGTTGTGTCGTATTATAATGTACATGTAGCTGTAAAACAGTTTTATTTCGATTTACTGGGCCACGTCTTATTGTGAACAGGGTCAGGCCGGGTCGTAGCAACCGGTTAAATGGCTCGGCCATGCCGGGCATCTTCCTTTCGAAAAACCTGACCCACCCAATTCATGAAATGGGGATTTTCGTCAATAATGTTCATGTCTAGGGAAGTACCGCATTTGGCCAGACCACCTGAAAACCCAGTGCTACATGTACATGTAGCTACGGCCCTGGTGTTGTAGACTGGCATGGCTGGACCCCCAGTGAGATTTTGGTAGGCCTGTACACCATCGTCGCTTCAGCCACACCTGCCGGGCCCGCTAAACTAGCCTAGAGTGTGGCAGTTAATATCCTCAAGCATTTTACCAGTTTACATGTGATTGCAAGATGATTACATGTAATGTACTGTCATACTGAAATGAAGAAGGCCAGGCTAGCTGGCAGCCAAACTACTCACTACACTAGTCTAAGTGACAGATTGATCCTCGTCTTCATGACTGTGTTCCCTTCGGCCCATGCCAAAAAGCCGAACACGACCAGATCTGGTGTAATGCCCGTCCAACCAGCTAGACCAACACGGCCTCCAGCCGCTTGCGATGGGCTGTAGCCTAATACAATGTAGATCTACCTGTACTAGATTATACTACAGTAGTAGTACTGCTGTGCATGGCGGAGGGCTTGATATCTGGTATGAAATTCCGGCCTGTCACTCTGCGCTCCGCAGATGATATACTGAGAGACATGAAATACTGAGAGACAGACACTGACAGGTGACTAGCGCTAGCGACTACTACTAGTACATGTACTACAGACAAGTACAGACTAGAGCGGTGGGAATTAAATTACAAAAATAATATTTTATTAATTAATTTCCAACCGTGAGCCCTAGCCCCTGCTGGCCTAGCGCCTGTTACAATGATATCCTGCACTCAGTCCTGTACCCTTGAACTATTGACATTGAAGACTGCCTTCATCATTCATGTCCTGCACTAGCTGGCTGGATATATGCAGTGGTCATGGTGGTTGAACTACACTGAGTAGATCTACTGAGTGTACAGGATTATCTGAACACAGTACATGCAGGATGCACACGCCACCGCGATAGTACGGTAACAACTGTTGGCTTGCAGGCTAGGCAGGGTTCATGCCGCGGTATGGCTATGAGTATGTACTATGAGTGTAAAAACTAGGGAAAACAAAACAAACAAAAAATCACGCAAGCATTCCATTCTGTCTTCGGAGGGTCACTGCAGAATCAATCGTCCGCAACAGAACTCCGAGGGTAACGGAGGCGGCGCCGCTCAAACTCTGTGAGCCCTAGTCCACCTCTCACCGGCCGAGCAGAGGGGCAAAGTATCTTGAAATCGATAGCCCTTAGCGTAATGTCGCCTCGTCATCTTCCGGTGTCTCTCTGGCTCCTCGCAGTCGCTCTTTGCGGCAGGCCGAGTGATGTTGGTGCTCAAGGCTCGAATAACGACACGACGACCGCATTCCCAATGGACACGACCACTCCGGATGGCGACGAGGACGCGGCTAGGAATGCTACGTCGAGCGCAGCGCAGCCATCGGCTCCCAGTCGCCAGCCCTCATTGCTGTACCGACTTGGTGCCAAGCTAGCCACACGTTCCTGTGTTCCATTCAGAGACACCAGTGCTGGAAGTGGAGGTGTTTCTGTGGCGGCCATTACGGGCCTTGTGAGCAACCTCTGCCACAGTTATGCCAACCGCTATCAGCAAGCTGACGGTGTGTCCCTGTTCACCGTCGCTGGTAACCCGAACGCCAGCGATTATGAGCGGTTGGTGCTCACAACTCAGTACTTCACGGCGGAGTTCGGTGTCCAACTCCAGTACTACAACAATCAAACTATCCGCCAGGCGTTGCTGAAAGGCCTGGCGGACGTGCAGTGGGATGGCTCGACGGCGGCGGACATGGGCAAGCGCGTGGATCTGCTGATCTGCACGGCCCTGTACCCGCCCTGCGAGGTGATCGACGGCAGGCTGCTCGCGCTGCAAGCGTGCGACTGGTTCTGCGAGGACATGCGACAGGCCCTGCTGCCGCTATCGCTGGAGATGGCCGCAGACGGACGCGAGCTGGAGCAGAGTCGATACTACATTCTGCTGTACTCGACATCGCACAGCTGCATCGAGGACGATGCCGTCACCAGCACGTCCCCTCTAGCCCGGGCCAGTGCTGCCAGCGCATCGCCGCCGCGTTGCCAGAACTGCACGAAAACGGCGTGCGGCCAGACGACCGTGACCGTAATGGAGCTCGGCTCGGCGCTGTCCAAGTCGCCGCCGGGCCGGCTGTGTTTCAACGCGTCCAACCCGACGCCCTGCCCTGCACCGTTCATACGCACGGCTGTGTCCGACCACTGGGACTCCACCGTGCAGACGAATCTCGATGGAATCGTGCAGATTGCGCGAGGCATGCTACGCGTCAACAGCAGCTTTCTGGTCACCAACGGTAGCTACCTGCCATGCACGCTCGACTGCGACATGTCGACGTTGTTCACCCAGTCGGAACGCGACGGTGTCGTACTAACCCTCGGTATTATCTGTCTGTTCGTCTTCATTCTCGGTGTGTTCTCCCTGGGCGCTTTCATTCTGAATTGGAAGCGACTGAACAAGTTCCCACAGCGCTTGATTCTCATAGTCAATATCAATGTCTTCATCAGCATCTTCGGCATCTGCGGGCAGTTTTTCACGCGCAATCCGGAGTCGTTCCTGTGCAACGGAGACGGCTCGCGTCGCAACAACGTGCCCGACGGCACAGCGGGTGGCAGCGCGTGTGCGCTCCTCTTCGTCCTCGTCTACTACTTCTCCATGGTGAGCGTGGCCTGGTGGGTGTGCCTGTCGCACGCCTGGTACCTGACTCTGCCGTGCATCAAGATGCCGGACTTTGGGCGCAAGCGCAACCAGCGCTGGGAGAAGTGGTACCACCTGTTCACCTGGCCCACCGTCGCCATTCTGACAGTGGTGCAGCTGGCCACCCGCGACGTCGGCGGCGTGCACTTCTACGGCCTGTGCTGGATGGACAACGACCTGGCGCGCTTTGGCTACCTGGTGCTGCCGCTATGCGTTGCCAGTCTGTTCGGTACCATCTTCCTGGCGATGGGCATGCACAGCTTCTACAATTCGCGCCAGCTCTGGCGCATCTCGGCGGTTAACCTCGACAGCAGCCCGGGGGACGGAAAGAAGCAGAAGAAGGTGAAGTTGGCGCGCAATCAGGTCGAGCGGGCCATGCGCTCCCTGCTCATCAAGCTCTGGATCCTGCTGGTGGCCGTTCTCATTCACATGCTGGTGCAGATCATAGTCGGCTCCATCCGCCGTGCCCATTGGGAAGAGTGGCAGCACCAGGCCGAGCTGCGCCTCACCTGCCTGCTGACCACGTGCAACGACGCCAGCGGATGCCCGGAGAATCCCGACGTCAGCGTAGTGCTTCTGGCCATTCCGCCCGCCGCATCGGCCACGTATGCTCTATCCACTTTCATCTGGGCGTTGAACATGGACAATGTGCGTGCCTGGAAGGGGTTTTTCACCGACATCTGGAATGCTATCGTGAGCAAGATTTCCAGAAAAGGGTCCCGCCGGGCGTCGTTCGACGTTACCGGATCTGCGGAGACACTCGACCAGTCCAGAAGTGAAGTGAGCGAAGAATTCACTTCGCCCATGAAGATAGCGCCGTCGACCATGCCCAATGTACCGCCATCAGATGAGGCACTATCAGACAGCGCACATGTACCGGAAGGTATGGACGCAGTTTAGGCATAATACCTCAGTGCATGCTTCATTATTGGAAATGACCAATAGGAGTCAATAGAAAGACCAAGGAACTACAAGTTACGCTATACTGTCCACTAACACCACCAGTTACTAAACAATCACCCGAGTCCAGTAGTCTTAAAGTTAATTAAAAATTTCCAGTGCCGGGTGCAAACAGTTGATAGGAATTACTTCACGCATGACATCTAGCATAATTATATCCATAGTTTACAGTGCAGATTATGAAGGTCACACTTAAATGCACATTGGTTATGCACGGTAAGACGGCACACGTATGCCGTACATTACGGATAGCAAACTCAACCAATAAGCATAATCATGAGGCCACGGAAACCTTCAGATCCATGTCAGGCAGGCGTACAGTCAGTTCTCGTATCGTTATTTAATGTGGATGTAAATCAATAACTAGATCGCTCAGGACTATTGGCAGTTTCTCCAAAAAAATCTAAAATGTACATCATATTGGTAGTCTATGGGCTTGCAGCTGATGATGGGCAGCCAGAGTCTGCTGGAGGAACTTGAGTCACACTATCTTGTTTGTTATACGATTGCCAAGCTCACAAATTATATTTTCATGAATCGAATTTTATTGCAATTAGTTTTACCACTGTCACCACCACTTTTACCACCATGCACCGCGGCAATTCCCGCCAAGACTGCGTTTTGTGCTTGAAGCTATACAGACCAGAACGTGCCATGCTCATCCCTGCAATGTAAAAGTTATTATCCTGCTACGGCCGCCTTTTCAAACCGTCTGCGTGAAGTTGAATTGAAGGCCGATGATCGTCAAACCAGTTTTTGCCTTTTGTAGACTGGTTTCCTCATGTCATAATACTCTATTCATATAGTATTTTCGCTCCTGCTCTTGTAGTAGTTGAGCACTCTCATATGGGGTAGTGCCTTTGCTGTTTGCGTTACGCAGAGCTCACTGACTTGTCGGTTTGAGCACTCTGGCAAGGTGCGTTCGGGCCTGGTTTAAATCTGGCTTTGGAAATTTTATTTTCCATTGCTACCAGGTTGGGCCTCATTTCCTCTGCCGGTGCTGCGCTGACGAGTCCACAAAGGACGAAACAGTTCTGTCCGCAGATTGAGTACTCTATTCATATATAAATTCGGATGATGAGCCCCTTTCACATGCACATAATCACATATTATATAAATTATTTGATTATATTTGAAGTAGCAGATCAGCTGTGGAAACATAGCATTGAAGCTCTATTCGTGTATTAAGTACCGTGTGTTGCATGACCAGTGAAGTAGTCATCGGCAATGTTTACAAAATACAATGTACTGATGCTAGCCGCTTGTATGTTACTCGACACTCAAACGTACAATGAAGGGATCACTTGTGAATGATTACTACAGTCTGGTAGTAGCGCTGACTGGTTGAATGGAACATTCATGCATATTTGTGTGTTATGGGCAGTCTGTAAATGTCAATACCTTTTTTTAGCAAAACAAGAATCTGTCACTTCTGCCCGTACTTTGGTGCCCTCCCTCTTATTACAAACACACCTGCGGAGCTCATCCATTGCACTCTGCAGTCGGCAGCATTTTTAGCCGCAGACTTTGCATCTGCAGCCCTGGTATATGTAATGGTGACCTGGCATGCGCACGAATTCCTAAGCTGGCTGGGTTTCTAAACCCAATTGTTAAGCCTTTCGTAACTCGATTGTACGAACTTTACCTTGTGTACAGGCATTGCAAATAGTGCATTCTCCATACTGTGGAACTTGCCCAAGACTCAAGGGACCAGAAATCCCGTTTTCTCCATGTGCGTGCATGGCCTCCCCCCCCCCCCCCCCCCCCCCCGGGTATAATGAATTGACTGGAAATGTCTCACCCTGGCCATGCATGGCACTGCCACTACTGCATGGTTCTTTGCATAGGACAGGTGTTGCCACGTCGGAGTTTAGTGTAGCTAGCTCCATTTTGACATTCGTTTCAGATATAGGGGGCCCATTTATTGTCGCACTGTGTCAAACCTGCAACTAAAGACCGCCTGCCACTAAACACCACTTTCTCGGCCCTGATGGGGTGGTCGTTAGTAACACGTTTTACTGTAGTCCTTTTGGTCTAAAAAAGGACGCATGGTCATTGACGCAGTTCCATCAAATAATCTCTTGAAGCGCACAGGCATGGTGCAAGCGTATAGCGCTATGATTATGATATTATGAGAATCTTCAAAATAACGCTCTCTAAATCAGAAGTAAACGTGGCTGGAGATCAAAAGCTTGCTCAACATGAAAATAGTGACAGAATATTGACAAAAGGATCTGGAATCAAAAAATATTCCTCCGTTTCAGGGAGTGGAAAACGGTGAAAATGCCTGAAGAAAAAGGTGACTGTCACCAACAGGATAACATCATCAAAAACACTGCATTGTGTTCCAAAACACATCATGTGTAGTCATGATCACAATGATTATCACTTGAAAGGTAGACTCACCCTAATCAAGCTGATCAATTGAAAAATTCGCGATTGTGTACAGCGAACTCTACCAACCTATTGTCTCGGCTTTTGGAACACTACACGTATCCTAGTGTGGGCATGCAGTTAGGGGGAGATCGTGCTACAAGTGGGCACCCATCAGTTAATACATTTGTGTCGTGCAAAGGAAAGACACGCACACACTCTTGCACACTCTTACATACTCTCTCTCTCTTCCTTTCTCTCTTTTTCTCTCTCTCTTTCTTTCTCTCTCTCTCTCTCTCTCTCTCTCTCTCTCTCTCTCTCTCTCTCTCTCTCTCTCTCTCTCTCTCTCTCTCTCTCTCTCTCTCTCTCTCTCTCTCTCTCTCTCTCTCTCTCTCTCTCTCTCTCATTCTAATACCTATATCTAGGGATTCCCTGGAAGCAGTGGGAAAATATAGTGTGTACTCCTACTACACACTGGTACATGTGCATTCGGCAACGGCTGTTGTTGCTGCTGCTTCTGTTGTTGTTGTTGTGGTTGTTGTTGTTGTTGTTGTTGTTGTTGTTGTTGTTGTTGTTGTTGTTGTTGATGTTGTTGTTGTTGATTGTTGCTGCTGTTGTTGGTGTGGTCGGCATTGCTGGCAGGGGCAAGTAGCATAACCGAAATAAGTTGAGATCGTACAGCTATTTATGCTGGGATCATAGCAAAGGCGTTACGTGGGCAAAGGCAAAATCAACAATAACATGAAGGTTTAGCCCCTCCGTACTTTGACGAGCATAACACGTGACTGGGACGCAGTGTATGTACGTTAACGAACAAAAATAAGGGTGCAAACAGCATGGCTCAGGCCATTGGTAATTGTATTCACTGATCGTGTAATTACATGGTTTTGTGTTTTCCTTTGCAGTGACGATAACTCAGCAGTCAATTTTTATAGAGAGCAGCTGGATATGGTTCAAGTGAAATTTCTAGATTGTGCTGCTGATGATTATTGTCCCATCAGTCATCAGTCACTCCTTGTGTACGTTCTCCTCCCCTCCCCTCTCTCTCTCTCTCTCTCTCTCTCTCTCTCTCTCTCTCTCTCTCTCTCTCTCTCTCTCTCTCTCTCTCTCTCTCGTCTGTTTTATTCTCTTTGAAGATTCTAGTTTTCTCTTTTTCTTCCTAGTCCTGGCCAGGAGAGGCAGCCTGGCCAGGAGAGGCAGCCTGGCCAGGAGAGGTAGCCTGGCCAGGCCAGTCAATAACGCTACACACCTGTTGAGCCATCCCACTCGTATGCAGGTGATGTCTGGCACCGGGGTGATGGGAATATGATCTCCACGGTCTGCTCGTCGACACTGTACAGACGGTAGATGAGAGTGCGCATGCCGGGACAGAACTCCTCGCTGGCAAAGTCGTGGTACAAAGCACGTGGATCGATGTCGTACTTGTCGGATTTGTCGACACCGCGCGGCTGGCCACACTGCATCGAGCTCCTGTACGGTTTAAGGTACGCACACAGCGGTACAGGCGACTGTGACGACGACTTGCGCTTCGGCCTGCTCCACAGGCTGCGCAGCATGCTCGTCTCCACATCGTGCAGCTCTCGTTCAATATCGGATACTTCATCCAGGTCAACACTCGGTGCATCTGCATTATGTCCAAGCAAGCAGACAGAGATACACATTGCATTAGACTGCAGGTACATGTATGGTCACCACGAAAATGATGTAATTTATGTATTTTGTATCTGTATTTGTATTTACAACTTGAGTTTGTTGCCTCAAGAGTACGAAGGACGAATATCAAGAGGGTTAACTATTTAATAGTCTACTTTGCGTTGTGGAACATATGAAAGCAAAGAAGAAAAAACAGAGTAGAAAGCAGTATATCAGAATGTGGACCACTCTCACCAACATTAATAACCCCCCTAATAATTACGTCATTCCCGTATCATGATGTCATTCCCTCATCATGACGTCATTCCCTTCTGATGAGACAAGTAACGTACATGGTTCGTTTTCCTGATAACTAACCTGAAATTTACCCAAACCCTCTTTTAAAACGCATGTGACTCGCCACTCCACAGATAACCGGCTCATGATGTATGTGATTGGTCACATCAGAGTGATAGTGTGGTGCATGACTAGATCATTTAGAGGATATACAGGTTCACAGATGAAGTACAAACAGGCTATGTATGAAGCGGAACTGGTTCGCAAAGAGCCAGAAAGTGGTGGCAGGTGGCAGTTACTTTTTTCTTCCTTTTTTTACTTTTTTTTTTTTGGGGCATTTCGTTTTGGAATGTAAACTTACCACCAACAGATTGTTGACTGCGAGGGAAATTGTCCGAGATAACAGCAAGGAGGAAATCCGAGTCCTTAATGGTATCCTTGGTCCACTTAGCCGCCGACCCGGGCGCATCCAGGGGGCAGTACTTGGCGCGCATCGTGCGTATGGCAAACCAGGCCAGGACCTGTTCGACCACGTCGACGCTTGCCGAACACGCCTGGTCGTGCGCAATGTATATCAGCGGCGACTTTCCGCACTCCAGCCGGTGCCGCTCGCCGCCGCGATCGGACAGTGCCGGCGTCGGGGTCCTGTAGTACAGTTGAGGCGGCGAATGGTGTCCGCTGTTGTGCTGACCTCCTCCACTGCTGCCAACTGCGGAGGTCTTCTTCAGCCATGTCTGCTCACCGCCGCCTGACGACAGACCAAAGCAGGAGACGGGCTGTGCTATCATGCTGTACGGCCTGCCATTCTTGTCATCCTGGTCTGGAGACGAGAAGAGAGAATGGAAATGCCCGCACATGACAACAGTAAATCCTTTGCTGAACAGAGCAGCCAGTACAAAAGTATAGACCTCTGGTTTCAAATACCCATTCGACCAGTATCACTTCTATTACACCAGGGTAAGCAGCAGCGTTCGGCCAGAGACTTGCATGTGGCGGAGGTGGAACTCATTCATCACTTCTATACTAATGCCACATAAAATTCATGATCAAACTTACTAAACTGGGCACTCAGGCTTAGAAGTCTACATGGACAAAAATAGGGGAACTGGCTGAGAAGTATCCCGAAGAAATTCCTCGACAAGCTCAAACAAAATTTGAATTATTCGAAAAAGTCTAGAGATTTGTACTTTTGCCCAGTGCACTTCATGAATACCTGTACATGATCATTGATGGGAACCAGCTACTTGTATCTCAGGTCACAAGACATTTACCGTGGTCTCCTTAAAGGAGGCTTTGCACTTACTTCTCAGCATGTTAGTTCGATGCCGTCGTCGAAGTATGTAGAGTGTGATCCCGATAACGAGCAGCAAGAGGCCTGAAACTGAGCTCGCTGCTGCCAGGACAATCCCTGAAGGCGCCCGCCGGGAGGAGCTGGAAGCTGTTGCTTGCCCTATCCCGTTTTCGGAGGTTGAAGATGCTGGAGATTCTGTATGTTCTATCCCGTATCCGGAGCTGGGAGATGCTGGAGATTCTGTATGTTCTGTCGTGTATCCAGAGCTAGGAGATATCGAAGGGGGTAGACTGGAAAGCTGGCGGTCCGGATCGTTGCAGAATGCTCTATGATCACCAGCTTCCTGCATGCTCGCAAGACGCATTTGCTGCGATGCGTTTTGCTTAGTGAAGGGGTGCCGGCACACAGCTGCAAGCTGCGCACAACACAGAGCAGTCAGAAGCACATGATTTGTCTTAGTGGCATGGCAAGCTTCTGGCTCACTGCAAGAACAGGTATTTGTATATATATATAATTATTTTGTATTTGTATTCATGGATCCTCCTCCGGCTTTAGCCTAAATCAATGGAGTCTTCGTTTAGACAACAATATCCAAGGCCACATTATAATGCTATGTAGAATAGCCTGTCATTGCAGTAACGTAAAAGCTTCCTGATGCTTAAAATTTGTCTGGTCGAAGTGGCACTATATGATTGCGTCAAGTCCATTCTAGGAATAAGATCCGGGTATTGCCAGCTTGTATCACCAAGCACACTATGTGCGCCTAACTGATCTTTGTCCCTGGTTTCACTAGCACATGCGTTCAGCGGACTGAACTCCGGCTGAGGATGATGTTGTGGTGTTTTACGCACAAAGATGTATCTGTTGTATTCGTTTGGTGTGATGCAACTGCGTGCACATACACAAGTACCTCGACAATGACGACTTGATGCACGAACGGTAGTATTGGGGCATCGCCGATTAGGTATGCTCGAGACATCAGGCTTGGCTCACCTGGGACCTCGATCTGGGAAGAACATACAGCAGTGAAATCAAGAAGATCACTTTAGGGCAGGCACATGTAGCACTCATTCTCTAGGCAGCTGAAAAACGCACTTGTTCAAGTACAGTTTTTTCTAGAGTACCCACTCGATTAGAAGCCGGGGGCTTTTATTTTTTCAATTCCAATTTTAAGGAGGCTTTTATTCAAGAGGGGCTTCTATTTGAGAGGGGCTTTTATTGTTTCATTCCATACCAGTATTTCAATAGAATCTCAAAACTTCATATTCACAGCAACGCGGGCCCTAGTTAGTTTGCACACACTACCTCGACCAGAACATGTACCAATGTGTGCATGCACGAGATGTTTTTTGGGCTCTTGACCCTAATATACATGGCACTAACGGAGTTCTACCTGGTCACCCCATGCTTCACGAATAGTAGTCCGGGCTTCTATTCGAGACCGGGGGCTTGTATGTTTCAATCAGTCCTTTTTTTTGGGGGGGGGAGCTATTACTCAAGAGGGGCGTTTATTCGAGAGGGGCTTCTAATCGAGTGAGTACGGTATATACCGCAGTTTAGTCTCGTGCTGTGCGGTCTTGTCTTGTCCAGCTCTGTCTTGTCCTGTTTTCATTGTAGTATGTAGTCGTGAAACAGTTTAATTAAGTTCACCCCATGGCTGTTGCCGGTAGAGAAGCGTGTGTGTGCATGGGGAAGTTGGATCCCCAGCTGCCTGGGAATTAGAGAGGAGGGCACCGCCGCGACAGCAGTGGTCGCTCAACTTGAACTTTACGCTACCAGTCAGGTTGGGATATAGCAGCGTCGTGCCCTAACTGACGGAAAACAATACCTGCAGCATATCATGTCCCATGTGCTAGGATTGGCTATAGTGATACGTGGTCAACCTTGCGAAAACGACCCTCGATTGTGCATGAGAAAAGTGTTGTTATTTGCCTGTTGCCACTAACTGGTATTCGTGAGATTGACAGTATACACTCCACTGGTCACTTTGTCTGAAGATTGGGTCGTTATTCCAGAGTTCCTGTTATGCCCATCGTCGCTTATTCACGGGGTTGACTACATTGGTAATATCGATATATTTATAGAAAAGAAGAAGGAACAAGTTACAAGGAACTACAAGTTACACTACAATGTCTACTAACACCACCAGCTACTAAACAACCAGCTCATGCAAGAGTTCATTGGTCCTTTTTCTTTTCTATAAATTTATCCCTGGCTCTCCATCCGAGTCCATCGATGTTTTTGCTTGCTAATTGGATAGTGACCGCTTCAGCCAAGCTTCGCTACACTCAATGACCACTGTAAAAATGCATACAATGTGAGTGGCTGAGTTGCCGTATCCTGCCAACTGCCAGGGTTGGACTCGCCAGGGCATTCTCACCGTATCGGAGATACTAGCGATGACTTGGTTGTGAATACCAATGACGTCCGCTCTGAGTGTGTAGTAGCGAACGAGGTCGCTTGGCGTCGTGTTGTTCCACGTGACGTTGAGAATGTTTGGTTCGGACAGGCACCAGTTCAGGTCCTCGGCCGCTGTGGCTGGTGGAACTGGAGATGGGAAGGACATTGTGCATTGCCAATTTTAGACTGAGCTAAGTAAACTTTTCACGCCAACCTTACAATCATGGTAGTACGCACAAACACATCTCTTAAACTCCCAACTCCATCCTCATCTTCGAAATAAATTGAAAGACACGTGCATAAAAAATCGGATGACATATAAGCCTCATTGATCTGCATCGCTTGTATTGTATACCTGTGTTTACTGCTTACTGCTTACTGCTGCTTTATTGTTCCAAGTTTAGTTTCGTTTAAACATCTCCTATTATTATTTTGCTGCTTCCACATCCCTCTACTCTGTTATCGGCCCTCTTAAGAGTTGTGTTCAGCACTGTTGAGGCTTCCGATGGAAAATAAAAGAATACTACTACTAAGTTACTACTACTACTACTACTACTAAGTCAAAGAAATAGCCAAAAAGCATAGAGACAGATTGGTACGCTGTGAATCAGAAAGCATGGATTGCATAACCTTCACAGCTTGTTGACACGTGGGAGTAAGACAACTGCGAAGAATCACTAGTGCCCTTCCAGTAGTATGTACTGGCTGTGCGCAATGGCCAAGGTAATAAAGGTACGATTGAGTTGCCGACTTACCACAGACCGTGCACATGGGAAACTCCTTTACTGCGGTGCCTACGTGCAACAAGGAAGTTGAGCACACACAATATAGCTAGAGAACACTGCAATATCAAGGGATTCAACCAGCTCAGCAATGACAAGAGACTGCGCACGGCAGATCCTTCACACACAGTCATACGTGATGTGTTGCAAGATTGTGGAGATTACAGCCCTTAAGTTGATACCGAGCAGCAAATCCCACAACCAAATGCCCGAAAGCCGCCAGGGGCAAGATAATGTTACCTGTATTCAGTTATTCTAGATATCGAGCACCCAGTCGGTCTTTAGCGTCGGTACGGTTCCTTTCGGATCTATGTAAAATGGTCGAGCTGTTGATGAACGTGCCACCTCCCCGCCCCCGGAACAGCATAAACTATTTGCTTCCTACAGCCATCATTAACTTATTGCTCCCCTCAGCAATCACTGGTCTCCAGCTATTAAACTCATGACCTCATCGTACGCAGACAAGCTGGCAAGTCACTCAGCCACTGATGTCGCTTCTGGATCAAAGTTTACTTGTACTACCACCACACAAGGAAGCCATTATCCATGCAATTATTGAAATCTTCAACTTCTCTCTGCTTACCGGTATTGCCATTCATCTGCCACCCGAGGATCGGATCTGGCCAGCCAATATCCCGGCAGCCTGAAGAGAAGCACATCAGTGAAAAAGCCATTTTGAAACAGGTCCCACATAATATGATCACAGTAGAAATTCGGAATTTGGCCACCCTCTGGATCGGAGACGAGCTTCCACTGCAGTGCCTGCTGGGATCTGATAGATACTACGTGCATGGAATCCACGTGTGTAATAATATGCTTTCGTCAATGTGCATCAATGAGTATGTGGCACCGAACATTCGTGGACTCACCTGGGAGGTGAATTGAACTGATCTGGGTCCACGTCGCCATACTTGATTTCGAGTAAACTTTCTCCACCTGCAGATGTGCAGCACATACGCACTCACTTATCATCATAATATTATTGCATAGATAGGCAAAGGAACGGGAGACAGTACAGACGTTTCATGTCGTGGACTGTGGCATCCCTTCAGTGATAACTCTAATAAATCCTCTTGTAACTGCAACATAAATGTGCATATCATCATACAAACCCGGAGGCAGTAGATCACCCAAAATGTATTGAAATCAATTCAGGCAAATAAATTTGTAACACAAAAACATATCGGTAACGAAGGCAACAGATATATCAGCATGTATTAGCAAAGAATGGCAGCTCCGACTCTGGCACCTATCGGATGCTCGTGACCCTCTGATGTTTGTTATAGCCCAGCGAAGAAAACACAGCATCCCTTCAGCTTTTCACGGGATTTGGATTAGAAGTATCATTTTTTCCAACTGAATGACCGATTTTTT